ACAGACTAAGTTATCTTGTACATCAAGAATTGTTATAGCATGGGCAACGATTTAATAAAGCAGAAATTTTAAATGTAAAGATTTCACATATGGATGTCCAGACAGTACCTAAAGAGGTGTTATGCATCTCTGTAGCTTCTGAACCCAGTCAATAATTCTTTCGAATTAAACTTCACTCGTTTATTCACCAAACAACATGCCTAGGGGAGTAGTGATCATGGTAATCTCCCTGCCCTCTGGCCAAAACTTGCTGCTGCTTCACAGAACAAAGCTTGTCTCAGGGCGCTACCTGCTCCAACAAAATGTATACATTTTGCTAGAAGAACGAACTCATCTTCCTACTCATGTTGCCAATCCTCTGCTTCCCCCCACCTCCTCCATGAGGAGTGCATCAATTACCTTCTTAGTTTTAAAGCAGCACATGAGCCAGAGGAAGGATGTCCCCACTACTCAGATGGGCTCACCAGTGGCTAACAGGAGCTTGACAAACCCAAAGCTCCTGTTAAGTCAATTCAAACCCAAACCCAAAGCTTAAGTCAATTCAAACTCAACAAAGCCACTCCAGTCCCTCCAATATCACAGCATACAGGCATACCCAGTACCCGCCACATATTGTCAGGGCATAGGAAAGAGACTAAAAGAAGATTTTACTCACAAGCCAGAGGAGAGGGGCACAGCTGGTGCAAGTGAAAGGCAAAAGCAGCAGCTTTGTGGCACAGCCTGTGKCCTCCAAGGTGCAAGCACCAGTCACAAGCAGAGGGTGCTCAGAGGTGCCCTTAGAGGAAAGACAGAGCCCTAAGAGCTAACAGAGGAAAGGGGGACAAGACATTTAAGCCAAAAGGTGGGACCAGCTTCACTCTTGCAGCAAAGGCACCTCAGGTGCTATCTGAGTCAGCTGCTCAGCTTCTTGACTTCAGGGTACCAAACACTAATAGGAAAATCCCGGTACTAATCAACTCCCTGGCAAAACTCACTTGGATTTACAGGCCCTGTGTTTAACATGGGGGGCCTGATTTGAAACTTCCTGAAGGCAGAATCTCGTTGCTCTCATTGCATTAGGATGCAATGTTTGCACCTTTACTCTGGTTAAGAATAACTGAGCACAATGACTAGTAACAACACAACAGTGCTATTTATACACTGTGTCTCTTCTCAGCGGAATAATATTAAAAAGGCAAAGGAACAAACAGTAGCCACTTAAAGCAACAAATGTACAAAACCAACCAGCAATTGATAAAGGTAAACCAGCAATCTGCCATGTACACATCTTCTGGTAGGTGGTCACGTTCAGCCCCCTCCGTTGAGAAGATGCATTAGACAAAAATGAGGGCACAGCTTTGTGCCAGGGAGGGCAACGTGAAGAAAGAAAGATCATCGCTTGGCACTCGGCCTCCCCACAAGCAGGCAGGCACCTGCCCACCTTGCCCCCACACAGGGCTCCTGCCAGGTTAAATACAGCACCTTCTTGCCCTCCTGAGCTCAGATGGGAGCGATCAGCTCCTCAGCTTTATACTGAAAGAACCAGCTAGCAAACTTTTAAACTGAGTCTTTTCCATGTGATGATTCTTTAAAGCTACATTAGGCACCAAAACGGCAGCATAAGGCAGAAAATTATGCAGCCCACCATCCTTTGCAAGCAACCACCCGTGCTAAGAGCACGATGGAGACAGTGGCATGTTGAGCCTCTCCAGAACGTCTTCTGCTCTTTTAATAGTTCTCCTTGGGCATGTGGAGGCTTGTATCACGTTTCTTTCTCCTATTGCTGAATCAAAAAATAGTGCAGTGAGTCACTTGTTTCAGGCAGACGTTGCCAGCCAGSCTGAACATGCTTCGCGCTGCAGGTCATCCTAATGTGCCTCTCAAGGTCCCCCTTATGCAAGGTCGTCTTCTCACCTCAGTACCAGCTTTGCTTGAGCAAGGTCCATAGCGCGGAGTAAATCCTGATTACTGCAGTGCATGTGCTCTCAGCAGRTTGCCAGATGATGCCCTTTGATCCCCAAATCCACAGAAATCAATGGGATGTTTTCTGCTGACTTCAAAGAGGTTTGTGTCGGGGCTGCTCAGTGCGAGATATCCGCCTCAGAGCCAGCGGGGCGGCCGGCCCTGGTCAGGCGCTGGCAACGCAGAAAGCAGCAGTGGAAAGGGCATTGGTCCTGCCTATTTTTAGTGGCAACACCCATATGAGTGTGGGGAGAGAGAAAGATGAGCCAACAGAGCGGCATGAAAAGGACTAATTCCAAAATGCTTTCTCACCCCCAAACCTTAGAAGAAAGATTAATACTATTCCGTTCTGGAAGGAACTGCAAAATGAACAACAGGAAGTCATCTATGGAAGCTTATTAATATCAGTATCATAGGTATAGAGATGTCTGTGACTTATACAAGGAATCATTGTGAAAGCTGCAAGCTTGGCAATTTCACAGAACTATTTTTGTGTTTCTGACATCTGTTTTATATTGTATTTTTCAAACAAACTCATGCTTTATCACACATCAAAATGAACCTACGCTAGCAATGCTACAGTAATTCTGGTGCAGATGACTCGAGGCACATGAAGAGTGGAGGAAGAAGTTAAACAGGAGGAAACATCTAGCTTTGAAAGAACTATTAATTATACATTAGTTTTATATTATTAACTATTAATAAGTAGCTAACCACAAGGATCAGCCACCATGAGGCCTCCTAACGGTGCTTCCAGCAGGGCTCTGTTGTGACTTGTACCTTGCCCAACACGCAGCAATGTTTGCCCGCAGGATTGAGTAACGCTGGTCATGCCCAGCCTGCGTTCTCACCTTACAGGGCAGGCCAAATTTTGGAGCTGGCCTTGTTGCTAATCTATGAGAGTGTAAGTCCTGGCCTTACTARAGACTTTCATGCCAGCCTCTCATATCTACATTTTAGGTCTCTGATCTCTCATCTCAGCAACTTCACACCTTTGCACTGGCATTTTCAGAGGAAAATAATTTATTACTTCTTGACATGGCCTTCCTCCTGTGTCGATTGTGGATTTTAAATGTATTTATTTTATGTCCTCCTTTGCCTTAATACACAGCCTCTTGAGATCACTTCTTATTTGTGTCTATTTAACAGAGAGGTTTTCCTGCTGAAATATACTGCTATAATGCTGTATTTATAATATGCCTTGGGGGATAGATAAGACCAAATTGGCCTTTTTTACGCTCTAATTTCCCACACGCATGTCACTTGATTTCATTAGGAAACAGCATGAAACTGATAAACCCAGTGGCTGTGTTCTCACTAGCAGTTACTGTAAGCATTTTAAACCTAAGGCAAATAGCCTAAGGGCTCTCCAATCTCTGCTGCTGATTAGTAAGATTGATCAGCCTTCTGCTCATTCAGACGCCCTAATGAACTCCAACTTGGCTGTACCAAACAGTGTGGACTGTGAGCATAACCCAGGAGAGAGCTCCTAAAACTGGAGCCCAGGAAAGGCTCTGTAATTCAACAGTCACSATACTCCTTCCAGGGGCCTGTGTCCATGTCTTCGCCTCAGGCCAGGGCAAGGCCCGAGTTTGCAGCCCTGCTCTGCTCCCCACACGTTTCTGTGCAGAGAAAACGTGGACAGGCAGCCCCACATGGACCCCACACGGTGCAATCTGGTAGAAGTGGCTTAAAAATCCACTCCTGTTGGACTCCAGATATAAGAAAYGTAGCCTCACTGCCTGAGGACTTTCCTACAGCAAATGGTGGCACTGACGTGTTCCTCGGAACCGGCTGGTTGGTAAACTGCAGCCTGTTTTATAGAGGACAAGGAACGGTCCTCACAAACACACAGTACCACTGTAACAAACCAAAACACGGRCTCCTCTGTGCTCTGACCCTGACATGTTTCTGTATATTTCAAATGATGAAAGAAGAATTTAAAATGAAAAGATTCCTAGCAACAGTCACCTACATATTAAAATGATTGGCTTCAGCAATTTTAATAGTAAAAATTCTGCATTGCTCATAATGTCGTAAGAGATCCTTTTGTTTGGCTCTTTCTTCCAAAGCATGGGAAAATCCTTTTTTTTTTTTTTTTTTTTTTTTTTTTTTAAGGGACATAAAAGGTGGTCCTGAAAGCAGCCCAGCGAGTACAAACTGTTTCCTCCCATCTTTCCCCTCAGCATCTCACAGTGAACAAAGAGAATCCATGTCTCTGCAGCACACATTTCCTTGAGGGAAAAGGAGGCTTGCATCAGTTCTTGAGCATAGCTGCATGACAGTGCAGCTGAAATTGCTTTGCGTTTAGGTCAAATCTTGAAAAGAGCTTTAAAATAATTTCAGCTCTAAGAATGTTTTAGGTGAGGCTCTTCAGATATATTTTACACATTGAAGTAAGGCACTAGGGAGATGTAAGGAAAGCCTGAGTCATTATTCAGGTAATGGGAAAACAAACTCTGTGGTATTTTAGGCATGATTCTTGTACAAGCAGAACTGTGACCAGTGAAATTTCAGAGGAACAAAAGTATCCAGGAAAAACCCACAGCTCAGCTCAGTGCTTTTTAGATGGACAGTGGCACACAGGTAGTAAAAGGGAAAGCAGGAAAATAATGTGTCAATTAGACTGAGCCTAATAGAAGAAATTTTGTCATCAAAACCATATMATCATTTTAAGTAGAAATTTTAAATAGAAAAAAATTAAATAGAAATTTTAGGACTACAAAGGTAAAATATACTTTTCCAACTTTTTTTTCTAATTGCTTATTAATGCTGGTCTGTGTTCTCTGTGAAACACACAGCACATTTTTACAGCTGTACAATTGATGTATAATACAATTGATGTATAAGGAATTTAGAAAGCAAACAGGGATTTATTCACTTAACTTGCAACCTGAGAATACCAATACATATTTCAATGAAACTGAATTATACAAACACTAATAATATAACTAATATTTTATTATTTTAAAATATTCTTTGATTTTACCCCAGCATTATTTCATTATAGATACTTGAAAATATTCACAGTCAAAAAGCAAGTTTGACATAATATACTCACAAGTTGTCAAAAAAATGCCATATTATTGCTAAACCAAACCATTATCAGAGCATGTTGTGAGCTGCATGACAGATAAGAACTCGATATAGAAATCCCTTGAACAAACGCAAGTACTAAGGCAACTCAGTGACTGTCTCTGCAGAACTCGTGTAACCAGCCGTGGGTTCAGTGCTGTAATCCTTGTTTAGCTTTTACTGGACAAATTTTAGGTCTTTTTCAATTTCGGTGGCAGCAGCATATAGCTGTTACTGTAACTGCCATCTCCTAGTAGCCCTGCATATGAGTAAGACCTGCTGCTGTCATCAACATGGCCCGGCAGGGGACTTGGTTTGCAGGAACATGCGGGGGACAGCTCCTAGGAGCCCCGCAGGCCGGCGGGGTGACCGTGGCCCCCGTGTTGCGCAGCTCCTGCCTCATCTTGCACTGTGCTGAGCCGCAGCGGGTGCGGCCAGYGCCGGGAGGTCGGCACCGCAGGAACCATTTTCTCAGCAGAGCAACGTTTGGTGCCACAGCATCCCAAAAGTGACTGTGCTGCCCTGCACATCCCTGCCTTCCGCGAGCACAAAACCTCCCCTTCTTTCACAAAGGAGAAAAGAAGCCAACGGTCTTGCCTGCTGCACACAGCTTGCTCTCAGCATTCAGCACTTTCCCTTTCTTTACAGTACCTAATTCTATTTATATTTATATTTAATTTATATTCCCTGATTATCTAATAGAATTTACTCTGATCTAAGGGAGAGACTAATTTTTGATTCGATATTTACTGCCATGTGGCTCTGTGTGTGTTTGCACAAAGGATGTTGCTCACATACATTTATATAATTACATAATTTTGCTATTATTAATTCATTTCAGTTGCATACTCTCTGCAAGATATTGCTTACTATCAGAAATGTGTAGTCCAAAATGGCATTATTGAACCTTTTATTTTGGAACTATGAAGGGGTCTAAAATAAAYAAAATATCCAAATACATTTTGTATGGCAGGTGATAGCTGGGACTCCATACAATACAATATGGATTACAGAAATGCACGAGTTAATTTCTTTAAGACATGGAATATAATGGCATAGACACTTTCAGACCAAGTCTTATTTGTGTCATACATAACACTGCCTGACCTTTTGGTAAGTATTTAAATTCAAYCTAATTTAATAATTATTAGTATTTTATTTTTCTATATTGATTGTTCAAGTTTAGGATTAAAAATTAGTTAAAAACTACTGACTTTGGGACAGACACTGCAAGTCCCTAAGTACTGCAACCTCCGAGGATACATACATTTAGTTTCTAAGAATATATGCTATTATTTGCAGATTAATCAATGTAAAATGATCATGCAATTAAATATGACAGCCAGAATTGAAGTTTAAAGCTGAAGATCATATTTTTCTTACTCCCAGTGCTGCTTGAAATCTCTCACACCTTTACAAAAATATAATTACCTTTGGACTTACCCCCCAGTAAATAACAGCAGAACATACCTTGTGCTACCAACCTGAATTTTAAAAAGCAACAGAGGCCACCTCAATGTTTTGAGTTTATGGGGTCTTTCAGACACCGAGCCCTAACTGAGTTTCCCAGGCAAAAGGCATCAGGAAGGATCATCGCTTAGAGTGAACTTGGGCTTTAGCTTGACAGATCTCTTCCTTATGGTGGCTCTTGGRGAAAACGGCATGTTGTCCATAATGCTCTTGTCTTCCTCCAGTTGCCTAGCAGTGCACGAAGGGGTGGGCACTTTCACCGTGTTGCCAAACTTAGAGTAGTCCACAGAGTATTGCCCGTCTTCCTCTGCTACGATGGGCACAAACCTCTGGCCCCAGAGGATTTCATCGGCTAGGTAGGAGGTCCTGGCTTGCGTGGTGATGCCGGTGGTCTCCACCACCCCTTCCAGGATGACGATGATCTCCAGGTCCTCGTGGTGGTGGAGATTAGTGGGGGAGATGTCGTAGAGGGGGCTGTTCTTGTCTATCACGTGGTAGATGATGAGTGGGGAGACGAGGAAGATGCTGTTGCCCCCCACGGGGTTCTCCATCTGGATGTCAATCTGGTTGAGGGGCACCACCTCGCCCTCCATGCTGGTGGTCTTCTTCACCACCTGCATGCGGATGGTGGCACTGATGATCATGCTCTTGCGGAGGTCGCCCACGCGCAGCATGAAGCAGAGCTTGCCCTCCCGCAGGGCAATGACCGCGTGCTTGCTGAAGATGAGGGTCTCGGCGCGGCGGTGGGCCTGCGAGGTCTTCATGAAGATGCAGCCCAGCATGATGGCGTTGATCACGAGCCCCACGATGTTCTGCACGATGAGCACCAGGATGGCGGCTGGGCACTCCTCCGTCACCATGCGGCCCCCGAAGCCGATGGTCACCTGCACCTCGATGGAGAAGAGGAAAGCGGAGGCGAAGGAGTGGATGCTGGTCACGCAGGGCACAAAGTCCGCCGGGGGCCCCGCCGCTCCATCACCCAGGCCCCGCTGCACGCGCGTGCTGTGGTCCAGGTCACCATGCGCGAAGGCRATGAGCCACCAGACCATGCCGAAGAGCAGCCAGCTGCACAGGAAGGACATGGTGAAGATGAGCAGCGTGTGGGGCCACTTGAGGTCCACGAGGGTGGTGAAGACGTCCTGCAGGAAGCGGCCCTGCTCCCGGATGTTTTTGTGGGCCACGTTGCAGGCGCCGTTCTTGCCCACGAAGCGCGCCCGCCGCTCCCGGGCGCGGTAGCGGGCGTGATCGGGCACATCCTCCGCGAGCCGGGTCAGCACGTACTCCTCGGGGATGATCCCCTTCCTCGAGAGCATGGCTCCCGCCGCCGCTCAGCGCCGCGGCCGCCCGCCGGTACCGCCGCCCCGCCGGGGCCGCCAGGGGGCGCCGTTAGCGCCCGCTCCGGCCGCGCCAACGGCCGCGCCAACGGCTGTTCCAACAGCGCGCGGGGGGCGGGGCTACTGCGGGTGGGGGGAGTGAGAAGGGCGCGCGGCAGCAGGTAACGGTCGCGCGCGGCGGTTGGTGCCGAACCGTTAAAACCGTTGCGCGGCGGCGCTGCGTGTGGCTGGTGCGGGCGCTGCCTGGGTGAGCTGCGGGCGGCAACGCACCCCGCACGGAAAGCGCTGCCCCTGCGCGGTTTCTCCAGGGTAGGTTGTCGGCCGGCCTCTGGATCCTGTTACGAGTTGTCATTTTGCCGCTCGTGTGATTTCAGTTCGGGAAAATACAGTGTGAAATCGGGATAAAATATATTGGGGTTTTTGCAAAGGTGCTGTGTGCACAGAGGTACCTGGAGTGTCCGAGTAAACGGGGGAGAGCACCACTGTACTGAGCARTTTCCACAGGCATGGCAGGAAACGTGTTTGAAGCACCCCGGTCCTGCCAGGAGGAATTACTGTTTAAACCCAAGACCTGCATCAAGTACTCATCCCCACACACACTCTGAGTAATTTGGTGGTGTTACTTAGCCTGGCGTATGGGAGAAACTTCTGAAACAAAGGAGCTGGYGGGAGCTCCCGTCACCGCACTGCCTGCTCAGGGAGATGCCCACTGTCCAAAGAGCAGTAAAAGATGCAGAGGAATCATCTAGGTGCACATGATTGACCCACAACAGACAGGAATTTCCAATAAAATATTAAAATTGCAGCTGAGGCAACAACAGACATGGAGCTACCGTGTGTATATAAACGCATATATGTACACGCATATAAGCCTGTATCTTTGGCAAGGTACACTAGCTGAAAGCACTGTGAAATGATTCTTCCACTGTTCAATACAAGGAGTAGTACCCTTGTTTCTGTGCTTAAGCTGGATGCTCTGGTTTAAATATTTTATTGCAATTTCRTCTGCGACACCAAAGTTGGTGAGTTGCTAAAGCATCCTCACATACTCTAAGGAGACTTTTCGTGTCAGTGTCCTTTCCTGTCGGATGCGGCTCTGCAAGTGCTCTGGTGCACTGTGCAAGCTCATTTCTTGAGCAATGTAATAACAGCATGAGGGAAGTTGATGCCTGGGAGCCAGCCAGTATGGGAGGCTGAAATTACCTTTCATTATCTGGTGCTGCGAACTGGCCTGCCGATACATTCCCAGAGAATCTGAGCAGTCGTTATAGGTCTTGTAATTAAGTGATGTCTGTTCTTTTAGCATTTAATTTCTACTAATTTATGTATGAATTGTCGAATGCCCTTGGATATATACATTCCTTATCGAGGAGCCAGTTTCTAGTACACTCTTGTACCTCTTCCTCTTGTTCTGGGTTGCTTTGATAAATAAAACCAAAAGGACAGTGAGGTTGCCCAGCATCCAGCTGCCAGGTTTTGAATTTAGCCAAATGTGCTTCTCTCTTCTCTTAATTGTTCTCTGCTTTCTCTCCCAAGATATTTTGTGTACTCATAGCATTAGCTGTGCAGAACAAAGCAAAAGTGCACACTATAAATGCTTTGTGTGGTTTATACACAATTATTTAGGAAAATATTTTTTATACTTTTCTATATAGCTCTTAAATGAAGAGTTAATTGTGAAAGGTCTATTTCTCTCCATTATGGCACTTCTAGCATTTTATAATGAGGCTTCTAACATCTTGTACTACTCCTTGGCAACATCGCAAACTCTCCTGAAGAGGCAGAAACAGCTATTCAAGAGGCAGTCATGCCTTTGGTTACAGAATATTACAGAATATT